CCCCAAAACCCCAAAACCCCAAAACCCCAAAACCCCAAAACCCCGGCTAAATTATATAAATAGACTCGCACCAACCTATAAATGACAGACTGTGACTGCTGCATTACTAAAGCTGTATTCTACATTGGCCTACTGTTCGTGCTACAGTGCCTGATCAAGTTCGCTTACTTCATAAACAGGAACTTCGTAAGGAAGGGCCATGACGTTCATGAACGGTATGGAAAGGATTCTTGGATCGCTGTTACAGGAGCTACTTCGGGAATTGGTAAAGAATTATGTCTCCATGCTGCAAAAGAGAAAGGGCTTAATGTAGTCATTATTGGAAGAAACCCTGAGAAGCTCAAGGCTACTGAAGCTGAAGTGAAGAAGGCTAACCCAAAGATCAAGACCAAGACTTATAGATTTGATTTCAATGATTCAACTTCTATTGATGAATACCAAAAGCTATCTGATGACTTGAAAGATTTGGATATTTCCATTTTTGTGAACAATGCTGGTCTTATGCCTCTGCATTATTGGAAGGATTTCCCACTCGAGGCTATTAAGGAGATTACTGAGACTAATATTCATGGGCTTTCCCTACTCACAAAGATCTTTACTGAGAGATTCTATGGAAGAGACAAGAGAAGTGCTATTGTGAACGTAGCAAGCACAGCAGGATACGCACCAATTCCTCTGAATTGCCATTATGGAGGATCCAAGGCTTATGTCAGAAGCTTCACTAAAGCTGTTGGGCATGAGGTTAGCGATAAGATTGATGTACTGTGCTTCTCTCCTGGATACGTTGATACTGCTTTATCTCGTAATGCCAAAGGATACAATGTAGCTTCTCCAGAACAATGTAGTCATGCTATTTTCAGAGATCTAGGGTAAGCTTGTCCCTCCAAACTTTACTTAACTGTTTTATAGATATGAAAGAGAGACTCAACCAAACATCGTCCAAGAGAACGAGACCTTCTCCTTCGCTATCATGTTGTTCATCTCTGAATGGATGACTATGAGCGTGGCTGGATTCCTGTTCAAGCAGGACTTTGTGAGGTTTGAGAAAATAGATGCAGAGAAGAAGAATGATTAAGTTAGTTCAGTTAAAAGGTGATCAATGCTTGGCAAGAGTTAAGGGGTTTTGGGGTTTTGGGGTTTTGGGGTTTTGGGG